CCGCCGCTCTGACGCCTGCCCGGATGTATCTCGCCCGGGACGAATGTCGCTGACACGTCGCGAGAAACGAGCCAGTAATCAAGCCGCGGCTTCGTCGTGCCGTGACGCGCGACGTAAAACGATCTGATCGGCCGAATCGTCGGTGATGCTTCGGAGACGACGTTCGAGAACGCGGCTCTAACGCGGCTAACTCGATCGTCAATGGTCGTGACGTCAGACCGTCTGTGGAACGGTGGCGCGGAGCCTGGACATCGGTGCTCGACGCGCCGGATTTCCGGGGAACACGCGACGGAGTGATCGCGGATCCACTGGCTGCGTATTTATTATCGTCCCGCGCTCCGAACTCGCTCCTACCTTCCAACGTATTCTCCTCGAGTTTCTTTCTACCAATTGTCAGCGAACAACCACTCTCCGCGACACTTATCTCGACGATATCACTGGTTGACCGATCGCGTTCTCCGTTTGATCACTGCTGAACGCGACTCGAATCGCGATCACTCATTGGAAATCGAGTTTGCGTTAGATTACGATCGTGCGACGTTCCACGTCGAACTGCGCAATTTCCAGTCCGTGCCGTTCCAACGATTTTCGTGCAATGTTATTGTAATCGAAGAGCAACACACGCGACCGCTTTCCTCGCCGCGATAAACAGGACTGGTGCGACGCGACAAGGTCGGTCACCATTAACGATGTGTTTTCGGGCCGAGGTTCACCCGACGATTTCTCCCGAACGAGCTGGCGAGAATGATACGTACAAGAAGGTTTTCTAATTGTAAGAGAAACAGTGAATTCGGTATAACCGCGACGCGGCGCATGTTCCGAATGCGGAACGCCAACTGTCGCGCGCCCCCCGAGGACGAGCGCTTTATAGAAGCGGGAGACGGGCATTGATCGGACAGGCGCTTGCGCTTGCCCGCTTCTCTGCTCTTTCTCCTCCTCTTGCCTCCTCCTCCCACCTCCTGCTCCTCATCCTCCGATATGCTTCCTGGTCCTCCTTCGCTTCTCTCTTCCTCTTCTCTCCTCCACTCCTCTCTCTCTCTCTCTCTCTCTCTCTCTCTCATCCTGGGCTCTCTTCTCTGCATGCTTCTCGACAACCTTGCCACCCACTATCTACGACCGGCCGCGTGCACGATGCCGACCACGACCACGACCGCGACCAACGGACTGGATTAACCGCAACCCCGACGACGCGACGTTGCTGACCGATAGCTGGCCTTTTAGAAAATGACGCGCAACGTCGTCTACGGATCCTCCGCCGCACGCGACGCGTGCATCTATGAATTCTCGTCTTAGACTTTTTTGAACGTCTTGCGATATCGCTAGGTAGATAACAGTTGACTGGAGACACTCTGCAAGAATAATAGTTACGTGTCCGCCTTTAGTCGTTGAATCAGAAGAATGCTGATACGAGATAGAGAAAAATGGGCGCGACGATTGTAATCGCGCAAAGGAAGAAAAAGATGGATGATGAAGGAGAAAAAAAACGCGCAGACAACAGGTGTTAAAGAGATTCTAAGATTTCTTTTCTCCGCGAGTTAGATCGCTGGTCCGCAGGTTGGTATCGCGATATTAAATAGGGTTGCCGTGGCTTGTAACGTGCTCTCTGTCCCTCGCTGTTGCCGTTTCAGTCCTCTGCACCCTCAAATTACCACGATTAATCACTATAGTCGCGAATAATTAATTGCGCGCAAGGGGCTGCGTGAAGCGTACATTCGTCATGAGTATTGTTTTAACCGTTGCAGTTACGCTCGGTGATAGTATACTTAGCCGTGGCGTACACGACTGCACCCATCTCTCTTCGAACGAAAGACATTCTCGCAGAGTTTTCAATTAACCAAATGAATGTGCTGAATATCGTCCTTTGCATCGGATAATGTGTTATTCAATTGCAACGCAAATTATCCGTACCGTTTTCCGCGTTACCAACGCGTAATCCTCGCAGTACCGCATGGCCTTTGTTCAGCAAACATTCAACGCGATTCAATAGGGACGAATAAGAAAACAGTGTGCACGTTTTATATAATCGTTAGATTCGTTGCATCGATCTGCTTTCGAAATTTTATCATAGCTATTCGACGATCGCGCGTGTATCGTTTCGAAGCTTTTAATAAATAACCGCGAACAAGTTAACGTTAAACACGAGCGTGCGATCGATCCGCGATTAATATTAAACAGGTGTGGACAATGAAACGAGCTGAAAAAAAGCAATCACGAGAGAACCCCTAATCAGCCTGCTTACCGCTTAGCCCCCTGTCACATAAAGCACGACACATAAACGCGCTGGGTAATGAGAGTCGATCGAAAGTCAACGAAGGGACCAGAACGGGCCATGGGTAAACAATTGTGCGCGCGGAATGGGCATCGGCCGATTATATACGGGAAGGAAGGGTCGAGTGTATGAGGCGACGTATATTACGCTGCACGTGCACACCATCCCATCGGAGCCACTACCCTCCAAATGACCTTTGTCCACCTTCTTTCTGTTCCTCGTCCTCGTGACCCACGGAGCTCGATGAGGGATCGCTCGCGAGTATCGACGCTACTGCACGAGTCACGAACATACCGTTTTTGCCAACGAGATATCTGTCTATAGCTTCAAACGCGTCGTGTCATCGCGAAATATATCGTAAAAACGCGTTCTCCCGTTAAATTCGAGTATAATATATTCTTGCGAAGGGTTACGTAACACCTGCACATGTTCCCTCGTAATTCGCACGAGCTCGATATCGACGCAACCGGCGCGTGCTGAATCGCCACAACGATCGCGTAATCAATTAGATAACGAGCCTTATACCCGGCGGCTTAGGGGAGAAAAAATGTTTCTAGAGTTGGAAAAAAAAATATTACCTTCCGTTGGCCGTAATATGAACGAAGCGAGCGTGTACATCGCGACGGGGCACGACACAGCTGTGGGGCTGAAGGAGGCAGAGAGCGTACCGGAGACGTGTGGCGGCGGTGGGTCGCGGTGGGATGTGTGCGGCTAGGCTACCCTGTTATTTGTCCCACGCGCTGGCAGATTAAGATAATGGGCTAATGCGGACCCTCCGCGCGGTGTGCTGTTCCCGGCGACCGATGGTGGCAGCTGGACATCAGTATGTCGGCGGGGG